AAAAAAAATATATATATATAAGTTGAACAACGGGGATGTTTGCGCGAGTGGCAGCCTTATCATAAGTCTCAGCTGAATGGGTTTTAATGACCGGGAATTGGAAAAGCCGTCGGGACTGGAATCGTCAACGGAAGCCCAACACAAACGCCGCCGCGAGGACTTCGGGCTTTGTTGGGGAAAACGTACGGTTGGAAGGGAGCATGTGCTGGTCGGAGGCACTTTTTGGAGCATATTTGCGAACTCGTAGAGAAGTATATGTAAGTTGGATACATACACACACGTACACTCACACGCACACGCACACGCACACGCACACTCACACGCACTCTCAAACGCACACGCACACACACACGCACACGCACACGCATACACACACACACACACACACACACACACACACACACACACACATACACACACACACACACACATGCGTGTAATTTTACATATATAAAATTAAATATTCAAAAATATCAAACCAAACAAGATATACGAAGCCAAGCAACAAATAATGAACAAGACAAATGAAAAAAAAAAAACACGCACCCCCCTCCCCCACCCTTCCCCGCCCCCGCGCCTCCCGCGTCATCCGGCCTCTCCCGCGCCCATTTCCCGCCATGCATAAAACAAACGCTTCGTCGCCGATCTGGGAGATAATCTGTAATTTTGCCGCTTCGCTAAATCCGCTCTCATCTTTCTCTTAATCCGGATGAGGCAGTAATCGCCGAGATCCCGTTTTTCGCTTCCAATTTTTGTTCATTTTTTTTGAAGGGGGGGGAGGGGGTGTTGGGGGTGGTGGTGTAGGGGGAGGGGTTGGGAGGGGGAATGGGGTGGGTGTGGGGAGGGGGGAGGGGGTGGGAGTGTAGGGGGGATGGGGTGGATGGGTGGGGAGGAAGGGGGGAGGGGGGAAGGGAGTTGGGGTAGGAGTGGAAGGGGGGAGGGGTGAGGTTGGTGTGGAAGGGGGGGAGGGGGTAGGAGTGGAGGGTGGGGTGGGGTGGACGGGTGGGGAGGGGGGAAGGGAAGGGAGTGGTGTGGGCGTGTAAGGAGAGAGGGGTGTGGGGGTGGGCGTGGATTGGGGAAGGGTGGGTGGGGGAGGGGATTAGGGGAGGGGAGGGTTTTAGATCCGGTCCTCTTTAATGTGATTTATGCCTCGGGAGATTCGTCAGAAATTTTAGGCATCGTATATATTATATATATACACACACACACACACACACACACACACACACATATATATATATATATATATATATATATATATATATATATATATACACACACACACACACACACACACACACACACACACACACACACACACACACATATATATATATATATATATATATATATATATATATATATATATACATATATATATATATTTTTTTTTTTGGGGGGGAGGAGTAAAAAAAAAACAAAAAAAACGCCTGTAATCTTTGTGTATTTGACAGAACTTTCTTCCAGAATCTCCTAATGTGTATGTAGATAGATAGGTAGATAGATAAAGAGACATATATATATATGTATATATATATATATATATATATATATATATATATATATATATATATATATATATATATATATGTATATATATGTACATATATATATATATATATATATATATATATATATATATATATATATATATATATAAATATATATAAGGAAAATCTACTATACATTATACGCTTTCTGCCTCCCTCTATATTTTTGCCTTTGCCTCGTCTCAATATCCTTTTTTTTTCCTCTTTTTCTTCCTCTTATGGACTTTTGCTTGCTTCACTCTCTTGACATTTTTCTTCTTCTTCTTCTCTTAATTTATTTATTTATCTTTTTATTCATATTTATTTATTTTCATTGATTTATCTTTTGCTTAAGACGAACTTGTGGGTCACGCCAAGTCTTTTTCGAAACGGAAAGTGTGATTGTGGTTTAATCTTTTGATTGACTTTTTTATTTACAGTATATTTGCACACACACACACACACACACACACACACACATACACACACACACACACACACACACACACACACACACACACACACACACACACACACATACACACACACACACACATACACACATACACACATACACACACACACACACACACACACACACACACACACACACACACAGTATACTCTTCATATTTAATAATATGTGAGTGAATTGGTATCTATATATAACTATAATAACCTCACATTACATTCATTTATATATACAAAAAACATATTATAACAAATAACTTATGGACTTACCAAGGATAATACCACTTTGTGACATGATATATTTATGCTGCTCAGAAAATAAGTGGATTATATATATCATGTATCTTGAGAATGAATAATGGATCATTGAGTTTGAATTAAGGAAGATATACTCACTATAACAAATATGAAAACTGTTTTTATTAACTTGGCAACAGAACAATAAAAACACACCAAAGATAACACTAGCGATAATAACAAGACATTCAATAACAATAGCAGTAACAATAACAGCAATTCCAGCAATAGAACAACAAAAATAAGAACAATAATAAGAACAATAATAACAACAATAATAACAACAAAAACAACAACACTAACAACAAATAAGCAACAAAAACAATAAAACCACACCAACGGCTAAACAAAACGACAACAGCATCACCCCCTCCCCCCCAAAAAAAAACAAAAACACACAACAACAACAAAGAACAACAAACCGCGAGAAAGCCAAGCAAAATCACTTCCCCCCCCCCTTACGACATAGCACGCACGCCACGGGCCGCCGCCACCAAGGGACACGATTATCATTACGATCTTTATTAATAACATTCCTCTTGGCTCCGTGTCTTCGCAGATCAAGAGGAAGAGGAAGATGAGGAGGAGGAGGAGCAGTCTTCGCCGGATATCCTGAAACTTCAGATGCTTCAGGTGAGGCGCGAAGATAAAAAAAAAAAAAATGTATTTGTATGAAGCGGATTTTTAAGGAGGTAGGTGGTGGTAGATGAATAGATGGGGGATTCGAGGTAAGTGAATGGATTGGTATGTAAGTAGATGAGTAGATACTTGTAGGTGGATGGATGGATAGGTAGGTAGGTAGGTAGGTAGGTAGGTAGGTAGGTAGGTAGGTAGGTAGGTAGGTAGGTAGATAGATAGCTAGCTAGGTAGGTTGGTAGGTAGGTAGGTAAGTAGATAGAGAGGCGGACAGAGATAGTCAGACAGACAGACAAGCAAACAAACAGACAAATAAATGAAAAACCACCTAAGTATAGATAAATTATCATATGAATTATTCAATAGCACTAAAAAGTACAACAGCCAAATAAACAAATATCACTTGAATTCAGTTCAGATTAGTCACATCCTTTTTATCTTTTTTTTTTTTAATCTTTTTTTTTCAAGCGAGATCACATCACACGCCAAGTATGTCAGGGTTTGGGGATTAACTTATAAATATTACCTTAGAGTGTGTTGCTTAATCTTCTTTTCCGTGAAATTCGCGATGTTGGTGAAAGTTTCCACGATTTAGTGTGAGGAGAAAATGTTGCATAATGTTGAAGGCGAGATGTTGCAATTCCGTTAACGACATTGTGAATTCGGAAAATAAGAGGAAAGGAGAGAGATTGGATTACGAATTAAGATATTATAAGAAGAAAGTATTACATTTTTTATCTTCATGTGGATGGCTATTTAATCATAATCTTATTTGAGTCGTTACCAAGTCTTTAATAACACCGATCGACGACTATTTCCTTCCCGGCTAGCATATGATAATCTCCAAGGCCACGTTAAGTGTCTGTATTTTTTCTTTAGGTCCATTTATTACTAGTTATGAATAGTGCGATGGTGCCAATAGCGATAGGACAAGAACACTATAAGGAGATGTTTCAATTTACTGATATGTGCGAGAGAATTATCTGTAGGTGCTGAAGTCCTGATTTTCCTATAGACCAATGGCCCGGCAGAAAGTAGGCCTATCCCATGCTCCCCCCCTCCCCCCTACCCTGGAAGCCTTGGCACCTAGGTTGGGAACTTCTGCTGCAATCATTCCACTTTATATCTCATTTATTTAATCTGTCTAATCCTCTTTCGACAGCGGATCTGATTTCAGTCGTTATCAGGTCGAATCACGCCAAAGGACCACAATTTTGTTTTAGTTTGTTTGTATTCTATTACATTTATCTAATCTGTCTTATCTTCTCTCGACAGCGGATTGTAGTCTCTAAGCATTCCAGTCAATTTCTTGTATATTTAATCCAACGGATCTAATCTATCAAATCTATCTTATCTAATCCATCTACTCTAATCTATATTTTTTCTAATCCATCATTTTTCCTAATCTATCAGATGTACCTAATCTATCAAATATATCTAATGTATCTGATTTAACCCGTCTAATCCCCGCACCCCCCCCTGCAGCGGAAGATGATGCGGCGCATCCACGAGCGGCGCGCGGCGGCGGCGGCGGCGGAGTCTCCCCTCCAGCGCTTCCTCCGCCACTACGAGACGCGCCTCAACGACCTCTATCCTGACGAAGGGAGGGCGTTCTCCGCGTCCCTGAAGATGCATCGGGTGGCTTGAGGGACGTGAGGGGCGTGGGGAGAGGGGGGAGGGGGTGTGAGGCTTAAGCAAACGTGGGGAAGGTGCGGAGGGAAGGGAGGTCTGAGGAACGTTTCGAAGAGGAAGGGTCTGGGAAACGTTCGGAGGAAGATTATGTGAGGAACGGTCTGAAAAAAACAACAACAAAAAAACGTTAAAAGGGGAAACGAAGTGTATAATTTATAATTGGGAAGGGAAGTGTAAGAGACGTTTAAAGGGGAGGAGAAGGTGCAAGAAACGTTTGAATTAGGAAAGGACGACGGTTGGACATTTTATTGTGGAAGATAATTTAAAGAAACTTTTAGATGTAAGATGGAAGTTTCAGATGCGTTCGAGTGAGGACGCTGTGTCGACGTATGCTTCAAGTGTCTCCTCAGATTCCCTCTCCTGTGACTTGAGGAGATGGCGGAGGAGGACCGTGAAACCCTAACGGTCCACATCTTTTATCCTGACGGGTCTTTAAATCTGTTTAGAGTTAGTACGTTTGTGAAGGAGGTTTAAGAGACGTTAAATGATATAGAATCATGATAATCCTTAGCTTTAGTGACAGACGTTTGATGTTAATGTATTTATGAGAATTGTTATGTAACTATTTTAAGCAATAAAAGGATGTTATTATTTATGAAATTGGCATTTACTAACAGGGGCCTAATTTTGTCTTTATTGACACTGATAATCTCTGACTACACACACACATACAATACATACATATATATATATATATATATATATATATATATATATATATATATATATATATATATATATATATATATATATATATATGTAAAAGGTAAGAGTATGAGAGAGAGGGAGAGAAAGAGAGAGAAGACAAGAAATGCAAGCAGAAAAGCATAATGTTTTAGATATTCTCATTTCGTTATTATCATCATCACTATTATTGTTGTTATCAATATTATCATTATTACTATTATTATTATTATTATTATTATTACTATCATCATTATTGATATTATTATTATTATTATTATTATTATTATTATTATTATTATTATTATTATTATTATTATCATTATTATTATCATCATTATTATTATTAATATCATCATCATTATTATTACCATTATTGTCATAATCATTACTCTTATTGTTACTTTTATCACTACTATTATTACTACTACTATCATTATTATTATTATTATTATTATTATTATTATTATTATTATTATTATTATTATCATCTTATTATTATTTTAGTCATTATCATTATTACTATTATTTTTATCATAAGAATTATTAGTACTTATTGTTATTATTACTATTACTATTACTGTCATCATTATTATCATTATCATTATTATTGTTATTATTACTACTGATATTATCATTATTATTATCATTATTATTATCAATATGATCCTAATGGTATTGATAATAATAGTATTAATAATAGTAATAATAATAATAATAATAATAATAATAATAATAATAATAATAATAATAATAATAATAATAATAATAATAGATAAGACTTCAGTGACACCTCTGTGTAGATTGTGTGGAGACTCTACTGAAACTGTAAGACATATTATCAGTGGATGCAAAAAGCTTGCCCAGGGAGAGTACAGAAAACGCCATGACAAGGTGGCCCTGCGGGTGCACTGGGAGATTTGCAGAAAGTACGGGATATAATGTACCGACAAGTGGTATGACCATCAGCCATTGGCAGTCGCAGAGAACAGAGATGCTCGAATTACCTGGGACATGACTGTTTACACAGATAAGAGGCTGAATCATAATCGACCGGATATTACTCTACTACGGAAAGATACACAGGAGTGGACACTAATTGATATAGCTGTACCAGCGGACCAGAACATCATCAATACTGAGGAAGAGAAAATGGCTAAATATCAAGAACTAGCATTCGAAATTAAGAGAATCCATAGAGCATCGAAAGTGACAGTGATACCAATCGTGATCGATGCACTCGGAACAATCTCAAAGAACGCAAAAACCTGGCATGGGAAGTTAGCCCTACCTGACATCGTTGGAAGTGCACAATTGTCGGCCATCCTTGGAACAGCTCACATATTACGGAAAGTTCTATGTTTCTAAGCTGCGGGAAGTAGCTGAGGCAAGACAAAGAGGACCCAGAAGAACATCAAAGGACTGGAGAGAATAACACAATAATAATAATATTATCATTATTATTATTATTATTATTAGTAATAATAATAATAATAATAATAATGATTATTATTATCATTATCATTATTATTATTATTGATATTATTATCATTATTATTACCCTTATCATTATTATCATGAATATTATTACTGATGTTTTTATCATGTAATCATTACTACTTCTTCTACAATCACCTTCATCACTGTTGTCATAATCGCTATTATCAGTATTATGATTATGGCAACTGCTGTCGTTGTTGCTGTTTTTATCATATTTATCATCATATTCATTATCATTATCATCATTATCATCACTGTCCTAATCATTACCATTTCCTCATTATTACTACTGCTATGATCATCATCCTCGTATTTTCACTATCATCTCTATCTCATCTCTATCAGGATCATAGATGACAGACTCTCCTGTTACCGAGGCAGAAAACGGATTTATTAAAAAAGATGAGATCGCCGCCTGGAAACGCTCTTAGATCCTCTTATCAGCTTCCTTCGCGAACCTCGAAAAGAATCCGAGAAGATTTCGAAACTCCTGCCTCGCCTTTCAACCCATAGAGCTATTTTGTAACGTTGTGAAGTGTCTTTCTCTTGCACGTTTTGATAATCTGATTGTGATGCTGCTATTTATGGCGCTGCTACTGCTGACGGTAATAGTGATAATAAGGATGTTAATAAAAATGATAGTGATAATAATAATAATAAGACAAGAAACAATAGTGATGAAAATGATGAT